TAAAAGAGTAATATCAAGAGTTGAAAATTTAACTGATGGAGAAAATACTAACAATTTTAATAATAAACTGTTAAATTAAAGCAACTAAAAATGCTTAAAGAATTAATTTTATTTATCACTTTTATAGAAGTCTTGTGAACATTTTTACAAGGATGTAGATTTTTACATCCTTTTGTCATTAAGGATGAATGGCATGCAAATCATGGGCAGTATAAAGTTATTACATATTCACACAAAAAATGCCCCAGTCATCGGACTTAAGCGTGCCATGCCCAAAAACATGATGAGCCTTCTGTCTAGTACATTGGACTACAATACACAGTTCCCTTCGCTGTTTACTAGAGAGACTCTATAGTATTTTGCCAACAATCTTCACTACATCGTCATTTTTTGTATAAAATGAAATTAAAAATTTATATGCTTTCATTGTATTTTTGGAGGTAGGATTACTTTTTCAATATATAATATAGTAGCAATAAAATGAATATATTCTTTAAAATATTTTACGAACCGTAATTTAAATTTAAATTTAATATAATTTAACCTGAACTAATTCCTGATACAATTTCAGAATTATTATCAAAAAATTCCTGGTAATTGGACGGAAGTTATGAAGCAAATAATTTAATATATAAGTATCAACAAACGAAATGATGTCACTGTATATCTTTGGATAAAGTAGTGTATTGTTGTTGTGATTTGAGTTAGTGCTATTGCGCACTTTTACTCTTTTGTGGCTGGGGGCTTATCCTTGCCCCACACTAAACGTTAATTATACTAGAATCATTATCATTTATTTATCTTCTAACTACTGACGGACCGTAGATCAGTATATCTTCCTGTGCGTCCTGAGTGGACTTAAGGTTTGTTAGGGTGGGGTTAGGAAACGTATTAAGTTTTGTGAATAATTTAAGGGCTCTGTCCTTGATATATTTTTTCACTGAGTCGATTTTTAGATCTTTATGCATGGCTGTTGTTCTAATATACCAAGGAATCTTAATTAGTCTTCTTAAAGCCAGACTTTGTGCTATCTGTAGTGTATTGTGCTTTATTTAATATGAATAGTAGTTATAATCATTTCAGTATAACCCCTAAATAACTTGAAAACAAAATTCTTAGTATTTAATGTCAAATATTCATAAAAATATATATATATATAATCAAGAGCTAAAGTAAAATTACAAACAGCGTGCAACTTTTAAACATTTTCATCAGACCGTCAGGCTAAATTTAAAATGGGCTCCGGTGAGCTCAGTACATTACTTCTATTCTTATATTTTATTTTACTTATTATTTTATTAAGAATAGAATTTTTTTATTTGGGTTTTGCTAATCGCCAAATACTATTTCCCAGTCGTCGAAATCGTATGCGACGACAACGTGATCTGGTACATCAAGTTGAAAATGAAAATATTCTCAGAGAGCAGAGTATAATTGCGAATTTAGCTGAAATTACTGTTAATACTGACCCACCTATTGTAGAGGCAATAAACAGAGAAGAACTTGTGAACACGGAAGATCAGTTAGAAGAAAGTTTAAATATAGCTAATTCCATAATTCAACAAGTACTATTTTAATATAAAATAACGACAATATATAAAACTTTAATTATATTTTTTAGGTTTTAATTGACTGTCCCATTTAAACTTCAAATATTTAATAATAAATAACTCTATCGAAATGAATTGAGTAGCTTCTCTACTTAGCCAAAATTAACTGATATGGTATGTATCCTTTCATTTGCGAGGTTTCCATTATTATTAAGCTGTATTGAAACAGATTTATATTATTATTTATTATATGTTATATGTCGGGATAATTATTATATGTTATATGTCGGGATAAATCAAATTTATTTATTATTAAAATTATAAATAAACTTGAACTAACGTAATTTTATTTTCTCTGAATATGCTTTCGTGTCCACATATAGGACGCATATTCTGACATTCATTATTAAACAACACTGTTTTCGCCCACACCACGATGCGTAGAAATTCTGGTCACTGTGAAGAAATTTTAGTCAACATATCTCTTGTTCTCTCTCTCTCTCTCTTTCATTCTCAAGTTATTAATTAATATTAAAAAGAGCAAGAATTTTACATTTGTGTGTCTCTTTCTCATTAGCGAATTGTAGTGCTTTTAAGATGATTATCAAGACTATGGCGATAATTAGAACTATGGCAATTATCTAGAACTATTCTAAGTTATAGTATGGTCAAAGTTATAGTATATTCTACATGCATTAACTTAAAATTATTATTCCTTTACTTTTAAAAAAAGCGGCAATTATTAGTCGTATTTTTAGAAAAACTACTTACAAGTTAGACAAACTATTCAGCTAGAAGCAAGCGAAAAGATAGCTTAGTCATCGTCTACTGGTTATATATAACCTTATGACTCTTATGAATGTTGGTATATCGGCATCACTAAATTTATTTATTCAGTGAATATTATTATCTTTTTCTTATTCTTCAATTTCTCGTCGTGATTATAAATTCAGGATTATTTCACCAAATTTTATGAAACTTGTATTTTATAATAAATAGTAATTTTATTGATTAAAATATTTTTAGGTCATACCATGAAGTGTAATTCTATTGTGGAAATATCAGAAATAGTGATCAATGTTGAAAGATCATTATATAGATTATCTTCAAAATATCATACAGTTCCTGCACAGAAAGGATGCACTGTTCGGAAAAGTACACCGGAGCCCTTTTCATAATAATAATAACACAACAAAAATTATATACAAAAAATTATTAACATTTATTTTAATTAAATAAGTTTATATAAGTCAACTTATTAAATAAATATTTTTTTCAATAAATTAACTGAAGACACACTCTAGCATTATTTTACTAAAATCTAAATGAAAGATGAAATAGGTATAATCATCAAATTATAAAGTGGATTATATTGAAGATTGTAATGCCATTACTCCAAGTACTAATAAAATTAAATCAAAAATGTCACTCTATTTCAACCTTGCAATAATTAAATTTTTAAAATATATGTCATAAATTAAAAAACAAAACTGCATTAATAGTTAAATAATTTAAATTTTAAATATAAAAGTAATTTATCACATGTCGTTTTGACTTTTCATTACCCCAAAATTCAAAATTCGAAATGGATCCCGACACTATAAAGTCTATATTTTTGTTTATGTGCTTCATGTTCATAACAATTATAGTAAGAGTTCAATCTCATTATTTTAATATGGTCCATATGCATTACTATTTGTCGGAGAACATTATCTACACCCCCAGCACGTTGCAAGAAAATCGAAATCCTCAAACCAATCCATTAATAGACAGCCTTGCCAAAAAAGCGATTTTTGAACAAATAAAAGATGTCTTGGAAATGGGTAAATATAACCAACTACAGCAAATGAAAAAGAGAATATATAATTTATCGGGGACTTCAACATCGAGTTTAAACACTTTCCTCGAAAATGAACGTTGAGCATTTCACTGGAATATTTATCAAAAGCATCGCTGGTATATGAACATCTAATGAATCCTACATTAACAAAAGGTTCTGTGATAGTGTTATGAAAGCATTTTGACTTAAACAGTTGATCTATGTATTTTAAGAAAATTGGGGTACAAAGTATTTGAAAAGGTCTGTACAATGATTTCTTGAAGTTAATACTAAATGGTTTATATATGAGTGATTTTATAGTTTCAGAATTACCAGCTACACTTACGAAAATATAATAACGAGAACAGAGAAGTGATATTCAAGAAATGAATTAATTGAAACCTATATAGATGATCAGCAGTCCACTATATTCGCTTTGCAATTCAACTTTAATAGACTTATACTTTAGAAGAATATTGTGAATTTTACTAATACCAGCTGAAAATAAGGTTACCGAAAGTGGATCTATATTTTGAGAAATTTACCAAACCACAAAATAAAAAAACGATTGAAACTAACATTTGGATTAACAAACATTTGACAATAAATTATGTAAATAAAATTTCAATACGCCTTTCAAATTAACATTAAAAATAAAAATTGTATTATGCAATAAAGATAGCGTTTGTTAGTAATTTTTACTAGACTATGTGGCTTTGTGTATATGTAAATACATTTACCCAAAAGTTGTCTTGTTTGATATTTATGAACAATCAAAAAGTACCAAAATATTAGTATTTATTTATTAAGTCATTACAGACCCGATCTTACTGGCTTACTGTCGCCAGTTGATAATTTCGAGTTGATAGTACGTGTCCCCTACCGTCCTCTACCGCATTTTCCACCTGAGGATGAGGAATGAAAGACCTTTCTATGCAAAACTCTTTCTTCCATTGTCACGACATGACAAAGTCAGCAAAGTCGCTAAATTTTTATACAATTTATTATGTCAATTTCGAGGTATAGCTCATAGAGCTCATCGTTCCATCTCATTCAATACTTGTTGTTAACGCGAAGGGACCATAGATCTTTCGAAGATTTTTTCTCTTGAAAAATTAAATAAAGATAACGCAATTGTGAAATTTTGTTATGACTCTCTCTATAAACACAATATTCTAGATGAAAACATTCTGTAAGCGAAAAGAATATTAAAAATTTAAGAGACTATGAATAAACTCGTCTCCGTAAATTCCATCATAACAAAATAGCATCATGTAAAGCCAATATGAACTGGTACAAGTTAGGAATGAATGGCATCCAAGCTCATACTGATGAAATATTAAATATATCCTGTCTTATTAAGAAAGTCAAAGACCAAAATATATATATACTAAAGCATATATATTATAATATTAAATAAATCTATTATAAATATATGTTTTCTCAATATTAAAATTTATTAATTTAGAATTTAAGAATGTGTGAAGCGGATTTGAAGAAGTACTGATTATACAAATTTCTTATAAACTATTATCTATTCATATATAAATTAATACAAGTTACTACTAAGTTGCCTGCTCAGAGCCAGAACTGTGTATAACTTTAAATTTTTAATTGTTTTTATTAAAGTTAATAAAATTTACATAAAAATTAGTAATAATTTGTAATAATTGGGAATAATTAGTAATAATTAGTAATAATTGGAGATAGTTAGTAATAATTAGTTACATTTAGTAATATTTAGTAATAATTAGAAGCAGTTAGTCACAATTACTAAAAATTAGTAATCAATATTGTAATTATTTCAATGCGACTACGAATATAAAATCTGAGACCATATCATTTATATTCAATATTCAATATAAATTAAATTCTTTTAGTGTTTACTAATTTATTATGGTATATTCTCAACTTACAAAATAAATCTTGAACTTAGTCTATTCACAAATATGTCATACAAATTCTTTTCATTCGTCCATTTTTCTAGCGGACAAACATAGCTGGCCTAAATTTTCTGTGTTTAATTCGCTATATAACATCTGAACTCACTTCTAACAAAAATTAAAATTTTAAATTAAACAAGTAAATTAATATCCCGCTGTACGTATCTAAGGGAAACCGTATTCCAGAAATATTTTGCGGCTTTTGTCTATTGTTACATGTAATGAACATTTGTATAGATCTTAAAAATTTATAGCTTAAAATAATTTTGTTTTATTGGAGTCCAACGACGTAACGTTCCTGAATGTTCCTGAAGGTTACTAATTTTTACTTATCTTGTTAAATCTTTTGTGACAACAAATTGCCATACTTATTAAAATTTTGTGAAAGACTTAAGCGGATAACTTTATATTTTGTGCAATATTACGGTGTAATTTTGATGTAATTTTGCGGCCTTATCAGCGTTGTAGGATTAATAGAACAAAAGCTCTGAAATATTATGGAACTGTTGGTGACAATGAAATTATTCTCCTTTTGTGTTACAATAAATTATTTTCATTTAATCAAAACTTGAAAGAGCAAAAATTTATTTTATATAAAAATTTATTAGTAAAATCGAGGTATTTCATTGTTCCATTTTACGTTTCATAGTTGAATATTAAATAAAATATTTCAATTAAAATAAACATCAGAAAATTCATATAATTTTATTTTCAATGCTCATCAAAGCGCCTCAGCATTAAGCTATATTCTCGATATATTATAGTACGGTACGATGTGCGGTTCTTATAACCATTAGGTTTTAGGCCATGTATCACATCACTGCAGCTTTCATAAAAGTTTTGTTATATATAGATGCTACGAGTGATATATAGATGCAACTGCATCGCACCATAACTACTTGGGCATACCTTATTATAAGAAGAATGTAGCAGCATCATTTTGTAAGCAATAAATGTAGAATATAATAATGTTTGGCAACTCTGCCAGCAGATAGTTGCCAAAAAAAATTTAAATAATAAATTCAACACCAAAATTAATAGTGACAACAATGAAATTAAATTCTGTGATATATTGTTATGAATTTTTAAGTTTTAATGAATAATTTTTATACCCCATTTACAAAAAAGTGTAAAGGAGTATTTTAGATTTATCAATATTTTTACAACGTATTGAAGGAGAAGTCGTAGATCCCATAAAGATCCCATTTTCGATCAGTTCAACGGTCTGTGTTGATTTAGGAGTGTCCATCTATCTGCGTCAGTTCAAATGACTTTCTCAATTGTTGTACCATTCGAGTGAACCTCTGCACGCATTATTTTTGAGACCTTTATCATTTATTGTTGGATTGGTGATATTTGGACTACTGTCTTTTTTTAATAACACATGAACTGAACAATAAAATTTCATACCTAATGTACTTATATTCATATAACAACATTTGCATTATTTCATTCATTTCGGTTCAGATTTAGATATAATGGGCATATAAAGTACCGAATTTAAATTAAGAACGTAAGTATAACTCACGCCATGGAATCTTATGTGTTCTATCTGGATTTGTCAAAATCAGAAAATTGTATCCTATAGCTATCATATAAGCTGAACATTCGTATATAATTTCTATCTGTTGTCCATAAATATATTTAAATGAAGTTCTGTGTAGAACGTTTTTATATTTATATAAAAGAATGTGTAAATCTTCATATAAACTGCCGATTCAGAGATACATTTTTCCAGAAAAATACTTTTTTATGTGATTTGAGTATGGTTTGATAACCCAACCTGTATAATTAAAATTAGGTTAATGAGTTTATATTTAGATCTAGCTTGAAATAAACCAGAGATTTCATAACAAGGTTTTCTTAGAAACATTAATTTTTATTTTACAATGTATTATATTATATTGTCATATAAATGAGACCTGAATATAAGACTCAAGGTTCTGTAAACAGGGTATCTAAGTTTCGACAAAGCCAAAGC